GAGATGATGGAGAGAGAGAGAGATGATGGAGAGAGAGATGATGGAGACTGGTGCCGTCAGCTGTGCTCATTAATCCTCTAATCCACTGAAATCACTGAACGTGTCCTCGGCATGTTTTTGTTTCTGTGCCGCAGATTTAAATGTTACGTAAAGTCTGTTCACAGCTCGCGACGAGTTTGAGTTCGCAGACAAACACAAAGAGTCTCATGGGACATTCACACAATCACATGTGAAGTAACTTACAACAAAGTTCATGCATCGCAACAAACACAACAATAAGAAAAGAAATCCGTTTTAGTAAAGAGTCAAAATACGACACAAGAAATAATAATTAAAATAAATGTCTCCAACAATATTATATAAAGATTACAGGTGCATTGAATAGAGTCAGATCTTACAGCAGTTTGAAAACCATTTTATTCAACTCATTTTAAAACAGATTAGTTCTCTTATTTCTTTTCCTTCTGTTATTCTGCTGGTTTTTTTAGGTTGGATTTGTTTTGATGTGCAGCACTTTACAGCCTGAACGTGTGAAATCTGCCTTGTGAATAAAACTCTCTCCTTTTTCTCCATTTGAATTTTTCCACAACTTGTAAATATACAGAGATTTCAGAAAATATCCAGCTGAAGTTATATGAACAGTCATGATGATAAATTAGTATTATTAATTTAATTATCATTAATTAGGTGAAAAATGATACGTAACATAAATATAAAGGAGAGAAAATAAAATAAAAAGGTGGAGACAGACTAATTTTAACAGGTTTGTTGTTAAATGTTTAACATGTTAACAGTGTAAGATTAATAATCAGTGTTTTCAACATTTGATTTGAAACAGAAGATGAATTAAAGCAGCTGTAAAATATTCTGCGTCTTTTTCTTTGTAATATTTCACGTTTGAACTTTTTATCATGAATTCGCAGCAGCGGTGTGACGTCACGAGAGACGTGCCGCTGCGTCGTGACGTCAAACACCCGAAGGCGGAAGTTGAGCATGTTGTGCACAAATGTGAGAACATGTGGAAGATAAGAGAGAAAGAAGAGAAACAGAAGAAGAGAAACAAGAGAAACAAGAGAAACGATGATGCCCGAAGACACGTGACGTCCTGCCAACAAGCGAACAGCTGTTTACAGCAGCTAACAAGCTAACAGCAGCTAAAGGCTAACAAGCTAGCAGCTGTTTACGGCAGCAGCAGCAGAAGAAGAAGAAGAAGAAGAAGAAGAAGAAGAAGAAGGTATGAGCTCCTCTTTCATTATATCAAGTTAAACCTGCGGTTCATTCTTTTATTTCTTATTTTATCTGTGAATGTATTTGATGAGTTTGAGTCACGTGGACACGTGTTGTAGAATAATACTCTTTATAAACATGAAAGTAGAAGAAGTTTTATTCTCCAGGGTTCAGATTCAACACAAACACATTCATCAGAACATCTGATCAAACCAGGGACATTTTATTTATTATTTAAACAGGGGGTGACTCCTGTTACATGTTTAGCATGTTTTATGTTTAACATGTTATATGTTTAACATGCTACATGTTAAACTTGTTATATGTTTAACATGCT